ATTAAAAACAAAATTGGTTGAGAATAATAATATTTTACCTCAAGGTTTAACATACATGGATATTTAAAAATTACTACATATGCATAGTATCTGACAATATACAAGATAGTTGTCCCAAATAGTAATATAAATTATAGTAAAGGGTATTATAATTATGGTAATCAGCATTATACTTTTTTCTCCGTGTAGTTCGATTTTTGTTTTGCCTAGTAAGTGCAAACTTTTTAATAATTACAAAACAACACAACACGACCAAAACAAATTTTTACATTGGCGTCGTCGAGCCGCACAACAAATAGTAATTATGCCGTTCAACAGCCCAAAGTAAAGTAAGTGGAGTAAAAAACACAGTCGAAGCATAAAAATGCGGCAGTTTTTTCCGGCATCACAGGAGAACGCAATATTTTATTCCGGGTGCGGCTCCGGAGCTTTTACCGCAACAGGTTACCGCCGTTTCTGTGTACTTTTATGATAAACAAAGCAAATAAATATTTTATATCGGCTCAGGTCGGCGCTTTGTTTCGACCGGTCGCGGTTTTTTTATTTAATCTCCACTATTAACTCGGTTCGTGCACGCTTGTTTTAATTTTGTCTTTTTTAATATACGGCGTTCCGGAATGCATCAAAATAATTTTGTTTTTATTTTAGTTTTCTTTTAGACTTTTTTATAAACAAAATTTAAAATCTTTAAGATTTTTAGTGCTTCAAATTAAATTTTCGGGAAAAAAAAAATCTGTTTATATCAAAAAATATAATTATTATAAAAATTTTGCTGTGTGATGCGTGCTTTGCAGACCGGCGCATTCTTTAACTTTCTGCGGTGTGAGATCCAAAAGGGTCTCGGAATTTGGGGTTAGGTCATCTTTCAAATTATTTTTTTGATACGTTTTGTCCATTTTCAAGAATTTTATAGAAACCTTGGCGAATGTTTCGATTTTTTCTTTCAAAATACCAACTGTCATGAAGTTTTAAAATTGTGAAAAAATAAAAAACAAACAAACGCATTAATTAATTTCTTTTAAAGTTTTTTGATATTTTTTTATTAACATTTTTTTTATATGCATACCTACATATTTATACAAATATTTCATATTTTTCAAAAAATATTTGGTTTCCTACATAATAACACTGTTTTACATAATTAAAAAATATGCCAATTTGCCAAAATTAAAAAATTTGACAGCTCTCTTGCAAAGAAATTATAAAAGCATTAATTCATTTAAAGTTATTTTTCAAAGTTTCAAAGAAATTATAGTTATTATAAATTAGATATATTACATATTATTTCTATAGAATATTAATCAAATATTGAATATTTTATGCTTGTCATACCTAGAGTTGGGGATGGTCAATTAACCGTTACCTATTTGACCGGTCAATTGACCGGTCAAAATATATTTAATTTTAGCAGCATTTTATTTAGGTATCAACAATTACCCGTGAATCTTAAAATTTTTGCGATCGTGCAATATCGACATCATTTACAATTTGGTGGTTCCCCGAGTCGAGGGGTTGCTAGGCCGGACTCGGCGCTTTGCCCGTAAAGCGAGACATATCTTTTTTAATAGCAAAACATAACTTTTTAAAGCCGCATAAACGTTTCTAAAGATGGACATAACTTTTATAATAAAAAAAAATTGGTAACGTTTTTTAATTACCTATTTATTAAGTAAATTTTCATTGCAGGAAGAATAAATGTTGTCTTTTCCGTGACGCCAAAATAAAGAACATTACAAATATTAATATAATATTTTTATTTACAATTTTTATTATCCTTTCTTCGATGATTATTTTCTAATGTTTTTCATTTAAAATATCAGTCTCTTCTTCTTTTTTAAGATTAATTTGAAAATTTTCTTTAACGATTTCATCTTCATTCTGTGTGTTTAAAATTTTAACTTAAGTTTCTCGAAATATAGTTTTTGGGTGATAAAACCAAAATTTTCATGTTTTACGCAAGCACAGGTTTCGCGATCTTTAGCTTTAGGATAACCTACTCAAAATGGTTTACATCTAAAGAAATTGGTGAAAGAAACTGATACTCTAGGAAGTGTCACAGAAAAGACTACTAATAAGTGTACGCACTCATATTTTAATTAATTATTTCTTATTTACACCTATAAACATAAAATAATTTATTCACCTTGTTTAACTTTGACAGGTACCTACTACAAACTACAATAGATATTTTACCTTGTTGAGAAAGCGTTGCCGTTGTGAATATTATATTGTGTGAAAATGGCGTCACGGATTGGACATTTTAAATTAAGGGACATAAACTAAAATGCTTGCCACCAGAATGTTTTAGGTTTTTTAAAAAAAAAATTAGTTAATAACTGTATACACTTTTAACAAATTAACTAAAAAATATTATATATAAGTATACTTATGACTGCAGAAACAATATTTTTCCAGCAGTAAAGTTCATAAATCTTTTCTGGGGACAGTCACGGATTGGACATTTACTATATTTCAAGGTAATTTTAATACATTTTCAATACCTTATTGGGAGATTTTGTACATAATTTTAAAGAACATAAGCATTGTTTTATCAGATCTATTCTTCACATTTCATTTTAGTTACAAAAATATTAAGTTCAAACCTCAGGACAGCAAGTGGCCAACTTTATGAAATATACCCTTACACTGTTCAAAATCAAGCCGTTTGCAATACCTAATCAGAATTAGTTCAGGAAAAATAAGGTAATATGCGTAAAGCAATTTACCTTCTCGTTTATTAGGCAGAAACGAATGCCTTAGTTCTATGGTGTATTCACTAACTTCTAGATAAATATTCATACTTTACTCAATAAACTTGTCAAATTTAAAAAGATAGGCAGATTACCTAAATATTTAGTCAAAATCTCAATTACTTTTGGGTACGACAATTTTGCTTTTAATTTAGGTAATTCTTCTAAATTATTATGGCAAATTATTGAACAAATTTAGGTAAATTCCTTTAAATATTAGTGACTTACTTGCAATCGTCTACGATCGCTAATACCGACGTTTTACGATAAATATTCGCGTCTATATTGTCCACCATAATGCCAAAATCAACGAAAGCGTAAAGACCGCGTTGTGTGCTATTGATATAACAACATAGTTAACAATTATTGTGCTATAAGTGAACATATTGTAGTGCTATGGTTAAGTAATCTAAACTAAATGGAATTTCCCATTAACCCCAATTTATTTTTAAATAATCCTAACCCTGCAGGGTACATGTAGTACCGGAAGCATTTTTCCGTCTCCTATAGGGCTAGCGCAACCGAGTGCGCTAATCGTGTAGGATACGGAAGCGAGACCTGCATCTCCGTTCCCTAAGTGGTTAACGCACCGCATACGAATAAGCACTCTGCAATGAGCTTTCTAGGTGATCTTATAAAATAATAATAATAACCAAACAAACAGATTGACGTATGTCTTAAAGGCGCGAATCATTGTATACACGTTATAGCGCGATAATACACTAGAGGCTTCATGTAGCAAAGTATTCCTCAAGGTTATGACGAATAGCTGTCATCTTGGTTATGCAGGTACACAGCATTGTACCATATCAAACCAACCCAAACTTAACAACCCAACCCAACCGACCCCGCCCCATTGGGCCCCTCCCGCACCATTGAGCAATAGAGGTATAATATATCTAAGGGCAGGCTGGATTGTGACAATGGGGCGGGAGGGGACCAATGGGGCGGGGTCGGTTTGGTTGGGTTGTTAAGTTTGGGTTAGTTTGGTATGGCACAATGCAGTGTACCTGCATAACCATAATGACAGCTATTCGTCATAACCTTGAGGAATACTTTGCTACATTTAGCCTCTAGTGATAATACCTAATTACAGGCGGTGCGTTAACCACTTAGGGAACGGAGATACAGGTCTCGCTTCCGTATCCTACCGCCGTTGTTAATTCGCCTAGGACATAAAGATAAAGGAGTCCTAACTTGGAAGAAAATTCCTATGCTAGGATTTTCACTAAAAATATATATAATTTGCCTGAAAACTTAGCTAAAATCTACCTAAAAATTTAAGCAAATTCCTTAGAAACAGGAAATTTATTCTTTTATTTTCAGGCAATATTCCTTACGATCTAAGGTGTATCATCTTTGAAACCTAAGTAATTTTGCTTAATTATCATTTTCTTTAAAAATATCAGTTAAAGAATTCACTAATTTAAAAGGGGAATATTCCTCTGAATTTATTTCAAGCAGTTTGCCTTAAAAAATCAATGGTCCTATATAGTCTAATATTTTAGGTAAAAATTAGCTAAAATTTTGAACAGTGTAAACCTATTTTTATAAAATATTTTAAACAAAATGCCACTTCTCGTTTAACTTAAAGTGTTATTTCAAAGAAAACACCCCATACATTTTAACATTTTTAAATTACACATAAATATCTAAGTAAACCACCTAAAGTGAATACTTTTTTCGTTAAAATTTAAGATATACACGTCAATCAAAAATAGCCTATAACTTTTTTGTTATTAGGTTTGCTATAAGGGGGTGGAATTTTGGAAAACTTAAAACATTTTTGCCCAGACAATAAGTATTTTTTTTGTGAGTGTAACCTCTTAATGTACAAATTTTGGGCAAATAAATGTGTTTATTATTATTTTTATTATTATTGTTTAAAATAATCCTTGTCAATTCTTTAACATTTTTCAACAAATTACCCGAGAAGACCCAGGGCAAATTCGCAAACCTAATAACAAAAAAGCTATTTTGGATTGACGAGCGTTTATCAAATTTTAACGAAAAAAAAAATAACGAAAACTCTGTTTAGCTATGGTATAGTAATTTTATGTAGAATATAAAAATGTAAAAATATGTGGGGTGTTCTATTTGAAATACTTTTGACTGGTTTTTACAAGTAAAATTATTATAAATAAAGTTTTAGGTTAAATGTTAGTCCCTTATATTTATATCTATAGGTTGATAGACATTAATTCAAATTTTATGTAGTTTTTCCTAAATTATGTAACGTTTTTGTCCTACCTGAATTTTCCCCTTGCAATTGTCTTTGGTAGTCGTCATCACCATATAGACCGTCCACTAGTTGGCCTAGACCGCCTTTCATGTAATTACCATCTAGGATGCCGTCGTAGCTGACGTCTTCTAGATCTATGTCCGGTTCGCGGGCTTCACCACGTGGCACGTCGTATTTAATCATGTTTTCTGTAACAAATAAAAATAAATTAAGCCAAGTTACCTATGATTAACTATGATCAAAGTTATAAAAACAAAAATCAAACATAAGCACAAAAAAATAGTAAATGACATAAATTGCATGTAATAACTCATTACATCGTCAACGGGATTAAAGTCATCTGTATTCGTTTTTCGCCCGGATTTGATTAATTTCGAATGATTTACGATGCATATTTAATTCGATCGTTATCCGCGGGGATGTCGTAGACACGATCCTGCGACGATTTTATCGCCTCCGTCTATATAAACGAACACCTAGGGGAGCCGCTCTAATGTTTCTATCACTCAGGAACTCGTTCGACACGTGTTTCATAAAATAAAAATGATGACAGATTTATTAAAATTTAAATGTATAAAAATATGTCCAATAATTATATTTAAGTTCGCTATATTACCTCGAATATCGATGTTGGGTTCTTGAAGTATTGTGGGATTGTTGGAGCAAAGAATTACAAAAAATCGTACGGCTTTAGATTACACTAGTTCGGTGGCCAAGTGAAACTATTAAATAATCTTTTTCTTCATTTACAACTTTTGGAGGTTCCCTTTTTGTATTCCTTCCAAGTCCGTGTTTTACTGGATTTTTCGTAATACAAAAATAGCAAGGAGGTGTAGCAGTGTATGTAAAAAAAGTCCATTACTGATGTTTACAATATTAAAAGCATTAAATTTAAAAATAATATGGTATTGGAAAAACTTTTTGAGTTTTGTGGTGTTTTCTTTAATTCTTTAGGCGATAAATTATGTAAAGTTAACTGTTATAGGCCACCTAACAGTTTTTAGTTATCTTGATAGTGTTTTGGTTCATTGTCATAATAAATACAGTAAAATAATTATTTGCGGAGATATAAACAAAGACAGCAACCTATATATGTAACACAAATAGCAAAATGCTTTTGGATATATTTAATTCATTTAAGTTGATACAAACAACGGTTGACTTTACTAGAGTTACTGCTACCTCTAAAACTTGTATTGATTATATGGTTACCAATGTGAAGTTTGGGAAAATTCCCAGCTAATAGTAATTCCACAAGAAGTGGCTCAAGATTATGTGTTCAGAGACACACAACTTCTTTGTTTAAAAAGTCCCTATTTTTCTGGCATCTATATTTTTAGCAATTTTGTCAAATTATATTAAGGAAACAAAAAATTATGTTTTTTTAAAGAAAACTGAAAGACTTCTTAATTGAGGAATGTCCTTATGAACTAAAAAATAAGTTTTTAGGATAAATTTGTAGGTATTTCCGAGTATATTTACTTCTGGTTCGTGTATTGTATTTCTGTGACCTTTTCTATACATATGAATGTTATCTATATCAATTGGATTAATAAATTATACTTATTATTATTAATATTATTAATACACATTTTAACAAGCAACGCTAAAAATTAAAGATATAAGGCAATTTAACTTATGTAAACAAATTTTAATTTTATATTAACAATTTATAAGCTATAGGGCTTAAATTTTGGTAGCTACAGCTATTAAGTTTATTTAAAACCAGTTTGTTGAAGTATACATACACTGTTATCATTGATAGTTATTAATAACAGATTTGTTAACATAAGTTTGTAGTTTGGTAATTTTATTTTGTAAAATGTTAACATAAATTTTGTAAATAACAGGGTTTGTTATTAATTTAACAAAGGAATATATTTTACCGAAAGTTTTGTAAATGTAATATGAAATTTTGTAAGCATTTTGTTAATTTCTAAGTTTAAAGATTATTTGGATAATGACATCAGCATCTGCAACTTATGGTTCTGCTTACTTTATTCTAATTCGTAACGTATTATTTAACGAGTAACCTGATATTTAACGAGTGTGCGAAATGCAAAGTATCCGAAAAAAGATGCCATTACTGGTTTTAAAACTGAAATTAGGGAATACATTAAAGTAAAAGTTACGAAATACATCAGTAAGTGTTGAGTAATACTGATAATTATGTATATTTTACCAAATTTCTTTATAATTTGATGATTTCAGAATTATGTGTTATTTAATTGATGTATGTTATTTTTGTGTTCATTAATAAATGTACATGTTAATTTTTTAGGAAATTAATTAATAAAGCAACATTTCTTATCAAAATTCTTTTCATTTAATTTCCCAATTTCCAACAAATACTTTTGTTACTGGGCCTACAAAAAGGATTGTAAAAATAGGGTCCCTATTACAAGAACATTTTTTAAGTAATCGTACTCTGAATTTTTGCGATTTTCGTACCATTAATTTATGGCCCCATTTTCCTTCCACCATTTTGTAAAGGCAGCTTTTTAATAATAAATAAGTAATTTGGTTCAATTTTTTTTTAAACTATAATTTTGGCCCCTTGTTTTCCCATCTGGGAACATAGTGGGGCGGCCCTTGTCTCGAATAAAATTATTTTAATAACAAATAGGTTGTGAACGCGTCAGCCACCATTTGAATTGTTAATTAACATTGGGAGTGCGTTTGATACATCGCTAGCAATCTGTTTTTGCGAATTAAAACCATTAGTTTAATGTGTATTTTAAACACACATGCGTGGGTGCGTGTGGGTGTGTGTGTTTGTTGTTACTGCTTATTACTGTTAGTGCCTTGTATTATTTAAATGTATACATTTGATAAATACCTCATAATTTGTTTAGGGATGTTTTACTACCAGGCGAAAATTATTTTACTTAAAAACTCCTAAACTCCAAATATTGCTCCTTTCTGCAGAGATACAGGATATAGATATATATATCTTATAGGAACCTTTTAATTAAAATATCTGTATATACAGTGTGACCCATTTGTTTGCGACTTATCTGTAAAATCTGTATTTATTGTGCGATTTCAACCGGATTTATTTTAAAGTGTAGATTTTGGAGCAATAAACGCCATATTTTTACAAAATACAAGGCCTATTACGTCAGTTTTTGAGAGTAATTTTTTAAGAAATCATATAAGCGTTTTATAAAAAAAATCTATGCACGGCACTGGATTTTTTTAAGTAAGAACGATTTTGTTGCTAAATTAAAAATGCACAATAATTAATATTTACAAAAATTTATTCTGTCAAGTTATCTATGAAAAAACATTGACATTAAATTAAACTAATAGTAACATAGTATAAATCTTTTTATGCTTATAAGCTAAGTATAAATCTTTTTATGCTTATAAACTATAGTTTTAAAAAACGCAATAGAAATTTAAAACAACAATAAAAAAAGAGAAGTCCAAAAATTCTCCACAATTACATTTTCGTCACCTCTACTAATCCACCATTTATTTGAATACACTAAATTTTTGTTCTGAAGTAATGGCTGCGCAGGTATTACCCTAGACCGTAGTCCTTGTGCAGAAGAGGTGACAAAAATCTAATGGTAGAGCATTTTTTGAATTCTCTGTTTTTTGTTAGTATAGAGTCGTTTTGCACTGTTAAATTTCATGACCATTTTAACACCAAATTAACACCATACATGGTCTATATCGATACAAACCAAAATGGTGTTAAATATGGTTCGTTGGTCCAGTGTAAATTCAAATACTAAAATAGTGTAAATTTAACTTTCACCCAGTATTAAAATAAATTTTACCTGGTGTTAATTGAACTCCTTTTCACTGTTAAATATTATGTTTTTTGGTCAAATTAAATCATACTACACAGAAAAAAAGGAAAAAAAAAGGAAACAGGAAGTTCCTTGACGCATTACTAGTATATTACCAGTGGTATTATTCCAGAAAATTGAACCTTCAACTTGCTAGAGATAATGTTTTTAGTGCGTTCCACCAACTTCAAATACTTCAAGTATTGACAGCTGTTTCAACCTATTTAAGGTCTCTTTAGTATCGAACAACTTGTAGTGTCACACCAAAGCAAGCGAGATTTAAGAACATCACGTGATCCACACCGCCTTTGCTGCGATCGGTACACACTATGCAACAAGGAATGCACGGCAAATTGTTTTAATCGTTTTAACAGAGTGCTTTAGGTTGAAGGAACTTTTATTTTACAAACAACATATTTAGTAAACTGAACCATAGATCGGGTTAATTTAACCAATTAAAAAAAAAATAACTATCTGATTTATTACCGTCAAACTAATCTTTGTTTATATTAACCTTCCCAGAGTTGATTTAAATAAATACTTATGGGTCCACTAAATTAATATAGTTAAATGAACTATTCCTTTTTTTCTGTGTATGTGCATTTCTCAAATATTTTTAGATAAACACCGTTTTGGTGTTTGCTGTATATAACATTTTCAACCATAATTCATGGTGTTTATATTAACACCACTTGGTGTTGGAATTTGACACCATTTTAAGATTACTCTTTACACAACAGATATTTTAGGCAGTGTGAGGGGTGTTGAATCCAGTGCCTTGCATAGATTTTTTTTAAACCGCCAATATGATTTCTTAAAATTTTACTGAAATGGTAAGCCCTGTATTTTGTAAAAATGTGTGTCGGTTTTTGCTCCAAAAATGCGTTTTATCAAGAAACACACTTTAAAACAAATCCCGTTAAAATCGCACAATAAATAAAGATTTTATAATATACAGGGCTGAGTCAAACAAATGGGCCACACTGTATATTAAAGCAATATTTATTATTATTTTTAACATTTTAAAATAAATATTTATAAACGTAAATACGTAAATATGCAGGTGTGAAACAAAAATAGGTGAAACAGTAAAATATTTTAAATCGAGTTCGTAATTGTATTTTAAATTATAAATTTAGTTTAAAGCAATAATAAACAACGACATAACATAAAATTTATTTATTTTGTGCGTGTTTAATTTTGCATAAAGCAATTTGCACAAAAACCAAAATAATATTTAAACTTAAAATAAAATGTTTTGGGAAATTGAATCGTCAAAAAATGCCAGACGAAAAGAGTAAAATAATTTTTAAGTGCCACTCGTTAATAACGAGTCGTTATATCTTATCTTTTTACCGTTTTCATTTTGGTTTAAATTAATTTAATTT